CCAGCATATGATAGCTCTTTCCTAGGACTATCAGTTGGTGTATGAATCAGTATGGCAACCTATCTGGCTGATCCACAGTTATGATTGCTATTATCAGAATCCTAGTATTATGATCATATTATGGCTGCTGTTTGACAATATGGCACTACTTAGCCATAGTCGGCAATAATGTTTTTTCAGTTTTTCACCAGCATCTTATAAATATAATAGAGAGCTATCGATTGATATGAAAACTGAAGTGATTGACGGCCTTCAGGATCTGTAATCAGAAATGCTAATATCCACACTCCACTTCTGATATTATCAACCGTAACTTTGGATCAGCAAGATAGGTTGCCACACTAATTCATACACCAATTGATAGTCCTAGGAAAGAGCTATCATATGCTGGTGAGCTATCGAAAAAATTTCGATCTTAAAGGGGGGGGGGGGGTCAATTCTTATTTATCAGTCCCTTTGCTTTGTATAGTTAATGTACAATTAATTCATATGTTGAAAACATTAAAAATATTATAACTGAGTACTTTTCTAATCAAAATTATTCTAAAAAATATTTTTAAATCGAAAAAAAAGAATTTAATATTAATCACTGATATTAATATCATCAAGATTAAGCATATAGAAAGTCTGTTTATCTTGAACCGCTGGATATTAATGTGACATGAGTCAAAGAATATTTCTTAATGCAGACGCATGAAGAAATTTTTTATTTTAGACATAAAAAACATTCATTTACTAAAAATTTTTTATTTTCTATGTATTTTACACTGAATGTTCTTATTTGGAACATTTTTTGGCTGGTTGTTCTTATTAAGAACACTGTTCCTAATAAGAACATGCAAGCTTTTTTTAAAACTTAAATAATTCAGTCATTTTAAATTGTAAAAATCTGAACATTTGGATTCTAACTCCTCGAATGATAAGGAACATTTTTTGTTCCAGAAGTGTATCGAAATTTTCAAGTTTTGATTAAAAAAAGGCCGTTTACTAAAAAGCATTTTTTTCTATACATTTTATACGAAGTGTTCTTATTAGGAACGCTTTTTGGCTTGTTGTTCTTATTAGGAACAGTGCTCCTAATAAGAACAAATTCAACTATTCTCAAACTACCGCTAATTACTTAATTAGTTTACGAGATAATTAGATAATTTTTGCACCATTAGACGCGGGAGACGTTTTTACACTCAGATATGTAAAAAAAAAAATTTTTATTATGAAAAATGACTTAATAAACAAGAAATTACTAAGAGCTCCGAAAATTCTGTTCTTATTAGGAACATTGACTGTATCTTTAGTTAGTTTTATTGATGAACTTTTTCTGTTTTCATTGAAAAAATGTCTTGAATCCAAATCCATCAATTCAAAAAGAATGTCAAAATGTTTACTCAAAATTAGCATACAGATCATTCATCACCACCATCATCATCATCTGTATCTACACTATAAACACTATATTCATCTTCGTCGTCATCATCACTTAATTCTTCTTCAATTCTTTCAGCAAACATATCGGCTTTCTTGAATATCGCCTCACATTGTTTAACGTGATTGACATAATTGGTTGCTTCCGTCGGATCTAAATTATTTATCCATTCTTGTGCCAATTTGCTCACTTCAACCAAGGTAAACTTCGTGTTTCTATCACGTATGTATGTTTTCATATTGGCCCAAGCCAACTCTATTGGATTTAAGGTGCTATGTCTATTTGGTAAACTTTAAAAAAACATTAGCATGAGATAGATATAAATAGATTGCCTTTACCGTAAGATATTAATTCGATATATTTTTGTTTCTTCGTCCACTTTATATTTCTTTTTCGGTAAATTTGCATAGGCTAGTTGCAGCAATTCAGCTTTTGAAATATCATCAGCATATAATACATTATGATCATTAAGTCAGTTAGCTATCATTTGTTTTCTCCATGAACGTTGTGGTGGTTTTGTATCATCTGTTACTTCACAATGCCAAGAGGTGTTGTCGATAATAATAGTTATTGAAAGTGCATGTCCTTTAAAAGAAGCGTTACGAAAAATTAAATAATCAAAACTTCTACCAAATTGTTTTCGTAGTTTGGAGCATGTTCGACTGATTCAATATATGAAATGCATGGAATCCATTGAGTGTTCTTGGTCGCATTTGAATATATCGATTGATGGATGGTGGAAACCATTCTCGTTGATTAACGCACTTATTGCAAGACGAGGTCCTAAATTACATGTTTGCATCGGCTTTCGCATCATGACAATTCCAAAGAAAGTTTACCTTTTCCTTGAGTTATGCGTATCCTCCCTTGACCATGTTCATCAACCCAAACGGCTCGTTTCTCTTCTCCACTGTTAAACCATGTTCCATCACTAAACGGTATAGAATATTTTCGGTGATGAAAAAGGACAACTGAAAATTACTGATAGAATATCAATGTTCCATTCTGACGTATTTCATATAACTTTCAAAAATGTGATGCTCTTTGTGCGATGAAATCTGTTGAATCCAGTGGTACACGTATTTGACTTGTTTTTCTGTATGAAAACCCAATTTTCTTCATCACTCTCCAAAGTAGCGTAATACTTTTCACCGGAAAGTTTGGATTGTCGGTAAGAATACGAGCAAGCAATTTGCTTGTATTTGGGTATATCTTTTCTGCTAAAAGAAGATGAAAATAGTACCTAAATAATCGACATCAACTATTGAAATGAAAGAGATAATTCAGTGAAACTGGCCTTATTAAATCTTCTTCATATTCATTTAAAGAAACTTTAAAACTTGTACGACGATCATGTTTGGCTGGTGATTTAGCAGCTGGACGAGGCGTATTCGTACTTCTGGACTGGTCAATTGTTGGTATCGTGTAAGGTGAAGATGATCGTCGATGTAAACGCTCGTTTTTATATTTCTGCGCAAGTACAAATGGTCGTTGTTGCTGTTGTTGTTTAAATAACTGCTGTTCAAGAACTTTTTGTTGTTCTTCTAACTGTTTTAATTCATTTTTCAAATTAACTAGAGAACCATGCGATATTTGAAGTGCAGCCATTATACGATCATTGACATTATATAATGGTATGGTTGCTCCATTTTTTTCTCCTTCGATAAATTTAATTACATTGAACATCAATTCTTTTGTTTCTTCACTGTAATGTTGGCTTCTCAGCATTGTTGTTTTCAATCTGAAGCAGAAAAATTACAAATCACAGCACGACATATCCAAAAACTAACCAACATTGAACGAAATGGCTAGTAAATTTATATACGTATACAAATAAAAGGAAAAAAAGAGGGAGAATAGATTCAAATAAACTTCCATCATTTGAATTGTCCATTCCTGCTCCTCTCTCCTCCTTCTATCTATTTTTTCAAACGATATCGCCAAATATGAAGAACTGTCTTCTTGAACTGTGGAACGAGTCTTTTCTTTTCCTTTCTTTTATTTCTGTCTTTTCTTACTTCATGTCCTTTCTCATAGAATTATACTCTATATTGAAGCGGTATTCCCAATCATCTTTCTTTTTTTTCTAATTATTTTTTCTGTGAACCTGTAATGCCACAATAAATTGAATTCAAAAAGCAAAAAAAGCATTATATATCAATATAAAATGGTGGCCCGTCGCTATCATTGTAATCCATTGCGACCCTCCACAGCTGTATTTCTTCACAGTTCGCTTGTAACTTTATCTTACTTTTTCATTATCTGCATAGGCTGTTTATAGATCTTTTAGCACTGGTTCAAAATAAAACAATATTTATTTTGGTAACTCGATGAATTGCACCGTTTGTGCAATAGAATCACATTTAGTATACCTTGTTGTATCCATACCAGCATAGTAAAGGTTACCAATAAAACTAACTACTGATATTGGTTCACTATCATCAAAAACTATATTTTGAGTTTGTTTTAATATTATTCTAATTAAAAAAAAAGACTCTGAGGGTTAATAATCATGTTAGGAAATAAGAGACAACAAAATTTTACAGAACAAAATATTTTTTATTCGCTTAAATTTTGGAAAAAACCTGATCACTAGCCTCCAGTAAAACCTTTGTATTTTTGAAACGCAAATAGCTATCGACCTCGATCTTGCGTGGATCGATAGCGGCGAAATAGGGCTATCTGCCCATTATCTTAGAGTTGGGAAAGCATTTAATTTTTTCTACCGATTATGCTCATCTTCGAAACTCATAATGTATGCTAGAGGAAAAATAACTGAAATTTTTCATCGACTATATGAAACGATAGAGCAACCTCAACTCTATGTAATGTAAAAATATCAACTCTTTATCTTTTGTTCTTATGGAGTTATTCAAAAAATGCCCATGGCCATTTAATTCTGAAATGGACAGTAGTATCCTTAAAGCTCATCATAAAATCAATCAACTATAGTGCATTCGAGAGTAGACACTTTGCTCTATCTAACGAGCTATAAATTACAAAATTGATAAATTCGACCAGAATTGACTTTGTCTGAGGGAGAGGTCCCTTAATCCAACCCACCTTCACCCACGCTCATATCCACACCCCACCCTATGATAAAATTGAGCATAAATTTGGACCCTTATATATGCTGAAAATCATCGAAAAGCGCAAGAGCAATGCTTCATGTTGTTAGCGTTAGTGATGATACACTCTGGAGCTAAATGAAGCTTAAGATGTTCCTTCTAGTCTAACTACATTAAGACATCTCTTCGAATAGAGAAGATGTGAGGTCGAGTCCTATGAAGGTCATCTTTTTCTTCATTCTGTCACGTAACATCAGTGACTCTGCTTGTCATATAGGTCTATACATATAGAAGTTAACAGATGTCTAAAATTTTGCAAAAATGCCACTCCATATTTCGTCTGCAAAACGAGATCTCGAAAAAATAAAAGATACCTAATTAGAATCTATGGCGCTAAACTGTTGCCCGTAAAAACAGCTCGAAATGATTGTATCAAAAGAGATCGATCTTGCCATATTCCTTGATCTTTCCTGTTTACTGCATTGAATTTTGTTCATCCTTTTTTCATTATATTTGCCGTTTGATTTCCTACAAATTGAGCAGAAAAGATTATAAGACTGATTTATGTTGCTTATTGAAAGCAATATAATAAGTTAAATAGAGTTTCTCATTTGAAGGAAATGGATTAATAGCACTAGAGTTTTTTGTAGCTATTGATCATGTAAATGACTACTCCGATGCTGATGCCAATTCCAGCGAGAGTAACAAAAGTGTTCCATACAGCTGTCCATTTTGACAAATTTCTCGCGCCTTCAATATCGCCACATCTTTTTTTGTCGCGAACTTGATTAGAAAGCAAAATGCCGACCAAGCCAAGAAAAATCCCACCAATGCAGATGTTGAGAATTGACCAAACCATGTAATCTCTAATGTTCATTGCGTGAGCTGAAACAACAGACGCACCATGCACTTGACCTACCGGCAACACAGAAACCACTTGTATAAACACAGGTTGTGGACCACATATGTTACTTGAAGGAGGTTGTAGGTTCGCCGACGTGGACGCCATTGGATTAACGATATCATAACTTGGTGGAGGAGAATAGCTAGTTTCTGAAGGACTCATAACAGTGTTCGTCTGCTTGTTTGTATCGACGTCTGTATTTGCCATTGCTTGTTTGTGAGTAAAATGTATGTAACTATTCAGAAGTTGTCTCTCGTTCACCTTTTTATGAATTTATCACCTGATTTCGTGATTGAATTGTCAACTTGATTGTACCCCTATGAAAAACACAAATAGAGAACATGCCAGAATCAAATCTTTTTCTATCTTTGCTTTCCTCGAGAATTCTTATCTGCAAATTAATTACTCATGATTCTCGATAGGGAGATTCATATAAATCTAACAAATGGCAAAAAGATTGGCCATCCCAAGTTTCTCTATGTGAATTGGTACAAGTCTAGTAGAATAATATCAACGATGTAATGAGTGTATAACGGAGGCAAATGAGAGATGTGACTCTGAGCTAACTTTGGAAATGATTTGGTTAGAGCTGCGAAATGATAGTTAGTCTCAAAGTAATGTACTCAGTAAAATAGTGTTACAAGTATCGAGTTCCATTTTGTGTACTGCCAGAGAGATCGTGTAAAGTTGTTGAATCATGTCTGCAGGAAGCACGTCTGAAAATATGAGACTCTCACTATAACCATAACACGGCATATATCAAATCTTGTGTGTCCATTTTAAAGATCAAATATTTTTTATATAAAAAAACTCGAACCCTATTGAATCTGAAGGTCACACAAGATCGGGTTTTGACGGTTCTATCTATGGCTGTCTTTAGATTTTGTCCAGTCCATAAAAATGCACGAAGATTCTGTAGGATTCAGTTACAACTTGTATTTTTTTTCCATAGATCGGCTAAATCCTACCAAACATTGGTACATTTTTATGAATTGAACACAATTTAAAAACTACTGTGGATAGAACAGATAAAACTGATTATGTCTGTCTTTGAGATTCAGTAGCATTTGACGAGACAAGTTAGATGAAAAGTATTTGATCTTTGAAAGGGATTCACAGGATTTGATGCATGCTCAACCATAGCTCGCCCTGATCTTTTGAACGTCCTTGCTATAATATGCACATCTTTAACTGCAGTAGTATAGGCGAAATAGCTGATAAATGATGTCAAATTAGACTAGATCACATTGACTCTCGCTCATAAAATATATAGGTGGATATTCATTCAAGCCAACATATTAAACATCCTATATTTTTCTAATTGAGTGGTGAATACTAATAGAAATTTATGTTGTCCTTCTATCTATTTATCCGTTCGCTACACAAGATGCAAGACAACTACGTATAATAGTTATTCTAATATATACCTGCTTGTAGTCTTATGTTGTTAGCAAATGAAGAATTTCTGTTGTTTTTCTTACTCAACTACAGCTAAGCAATGATCGTGATTTTTAACTGTTTTGTCTTTATTTGCCATGCTTGGAAGAAGATAAATAAGACATATTATCCTTTGAGGCACGTGAGTTCCAGAAGTAATATGATCCATGTCACATAAAATCAAATAGTAAAGCTTTTATTATATGAGTTGACTCTATATGGAAAATGCAAATCTAATCCGACTGATTCCAGACATAAACATGCAACAATATTAATATTGGTGCTGTCATGACATTTACTAATACAAATATAGTATTCGGATCTGCCATCATTTGTTAATAATATACTACAGAAATTCTTACCTACAAAGAAAAAAATATGAACACTGGAAAATGGGCCAGTTTTCTTAAAATCATGCAATACCAGGCTTTTCGGAAAATTCGTGCAACTATTCTCCAGCAACATGTGCGTCACGTTTTATTTAGACGATTGTGTGTAGCATGCATTTCTACCTTATGGATTTGTATTTGCTCTACTTGCCCTAGTGATTTCAGTGGTCGAGTCAGCGGCGTTTGATAATCCGTTTGGAGGACAAAAATAAAATTACCCGATCATCAATGATTTCTTTTCTCCTTTTAAATGATCGCTCTTCATCGTACGTGATCGGTTTTGGGTGAGTGTGGGTGTGGTTCTGTGAGTGCGACAAGAGAATAACAATATTCACACTCACACTCTAAATTGAACAACCTGTAGAAAGATCTTACGTCATGATCTTAACTACGATATTGAAGAGTAGTCCTGTTCCATGGTAGTGTCAATAGATGGCGCTCGTTGATGCTAAACGTTATATATATAATTTGTTTCTATGATCCTCGTTTATCTGTTGTGTACTCTCTTGTCTATGGCCGACACTCTTGATTGAGTTGTTGTTTTCTTTTGATCCAGTTGTTGATTTTTTCTCCTCTTGATTATTACTATCATCATTATCATTATTCTTGTTATTGCTGATTATAGTTTATCTTAACACAATAAACTCATTATCCACTCTTTATTATTAACATATATTACATTATTGCAACATAATATTCTGGTAGGCTTCTTAATGTGAGTCATTCTCGTATAATTGCAGATATGACATTGCGAGCTGTTGATACACCAAGTCTATGTAATATTTCGAATAAAAGAAATATTCTTGACAGATCAATAATTGCGAGGCTCACATTCAATTATGGTGCTTTCTATTGATATGTATTCTAAAAGAAATGAACCACAGAACCAAGTAGCGCGTACTAGCCATAAAAATGATTACTGCTTTACAGCCAGATATCTCTTGATATCGTATATTTAGGGCGTTCCATAAATAACCTACCAAAAGTTTTTTCGTTTCAGTTCACTATTGACTAGACTTCATCGATTAATTTCTTTTTATAAAATAAATAAATACACCGAGTTTTTATCTCTATAGATGAATTTCAAAAGCATTGTTGAAAGCTAAGACCTTTAACTGGGATACCAAAATTTAGCCTGTTTTCTGTTTTCTGAAAAAAATGACGGAGCATTTCTTTTCTAATTACTTTTAGTTATTGAGTGATTCGAGTCTTTAAGCTGTCTAATTCTTGAACAATCTTTTCATAGAATTTTATTTTGGTATGTCTTCACAAAAACGAATTGCATGGTATCAAGTCAAAATACAAGCAATTAAGACAGACAGAATCCATGAGTTTCTCGAGACATAGAAAACAGACTAAATTTTGGTATTTCGGTTAATGGGCTTAGGTTTCAACAGTGCTTTTGAAGTTTATCTGTAGAAATAAAAACTCGGTGTATTTATCTGTTATATAAAAAAAATTAACCGACGAAGTCCAGCCAATAGTGAACGGAAACGAAAAAACTTTTGGTAAGTTATCTCTGGAACACCCTGTAGTTCACCAAAAGTACTAGCATATAATTTCCATATTTTAGATCCATATGCAATTTCTTCATTTGAAACAGTGATTGAACGAGTACAAGTACAACAAGTAAAAGTATATATACTTTGCACTCAAGAATTGTATTTTGTACTGTAGTCTCGGTGCTGAGTACAAATGTACCTAGTACAATGTATTTAAATACAAAGTATATCTTAAGCTAGGCTTTGATTAATATTTTGCGAAACGCGATATAAAAGGAGTGCTGAAGTATATATGATAGATGTTTCGGATTCATTCCCTCCCCCAGACTTCGCAAACAGATCGGAAAGCCGATAGCAACGCGTTACGCACATGACATACGCCAGTCTGAGACTTATAAATAATGGTAAAAGTTGTGAATATACAATCATAGATTGCATGTCAGTGACGGCCTGTTACCATGTACCAACTGCTTCCTTATTACATTTTTTGGAGATAAAGCCAAAGGAGGATGCAGACTAACAGCAGCTACATCGAGTTTCACAGATAAATCACGAAGATGTTGCACTAGCAGTGTTTTTTCCCAAACGTCTACCATTCTCGTAGCTTAATGGCATTTGCAGTGGTAGAAAGAAGAGTGTGGGTGTCGATGTGTAGGGATGCGGATGAATAAAACACATCTACACCGCACAGTCACAGCTACATCCTGCTCTCATTAATAAAGAAAAGAGATGAGATACAGACGGCAAATATTGTTATGTCCCTTGTATTTTAAAGGCATTGAAAAGCGGATTTATGTTTTTTTTGGTAGATTTTAAAAATCCAAGATGGCAGATGCAAACAAAGGTATTTCAAAAGAAGGAGCAATTGGCAAGAATATGGCTGATGCTCTTGGTGGTCATACAGAAGGTGCAATATCAAGTAATTATAAAGGAATGCCGAGAAATGCCGATCCGCATTATTCTCACAATCCTGCGAATAGTCAACCAGTAGCTGAATGGACTCAAAACAAAATGCAAGAATGTCGCAAAAATGCAGCAAAAAAGAAATGACATATTACTCTACTTTTACACAGTTACTGCGTAAAGTTTTCAAAGTTTATTAATACTCTTGATTTTTATTTTATTTAAATTTTTTGATTATAATCAGTTAAATCTACAATTTTATTCATGTCAGGGCTGTGGGTATGGATGAATAGCTGACTGAGACTCAGACACACACCCACGCCTGTCTTTTGGATTATATTCTACTGTTAAACTTCTCACACGATATTTTCGTACATGAAATTACTGTCTGCGAGATACTACCACACTTATACTAAAATTTTTTTTGTTGTTTAAAAATGAGAGTTAGATTAGAATTATACACACAGAATATGGATTAAAGTGGAAACACATTCATAATGAAAACAAGATCTGTTCAGGTCCTATAAATTCTGATAGATCTGGCTATATTTTAGAAGAGCTAGTATATTTAATAGAATAAGGTATATCTTAACAGACTTCACGGATAAATCTTTTTCATGAAAAAGTATAAAAATTTTGCTGCTTCGTTATCTTGTAAAAATTGTATGTTATTTAATCAGCTTGCTTCTGCTGTTAGCATTATTTTAATAAGTTACTTACCACAATGAAATCAATGAAATTGAATGTATTGAGAATTGCTTAATGTAAAAAGTGCTGTTGAATAGACTTAATGTTATATATATAACACTATTTGCCTATTTTATCGAATAATTCTTCGTTTTCTCTTTGCAGTAAGACTCATACGTTTCTTATCCTTCGTTAATGTGCTTGGTTGTTTCTCTTTTTTTATTTTTTGTGATACTCTACGAGATAATGTCGAAACATATTCACACTTAAAAAAATATTGAGAAACAAAATTTTCCAAGTTTGCCAGTTCAAGAATGACATTTACATTGACAGGCGTTGATGGTTTTTGGTAACTCCTGATTAACCATGGAAAATCATAACAGAAATTTTGTTGAAGATGTGGGTGTGAATCTTATAGGCAGTTGTTCTATCATCAGCGACACACTACGCCCACATTCAAACTTTATATACACTGATGAAAATTTTTAAAATTTGAGCATCGTTCAGTGACTATAATATACAGCAGTTTCTGAATATGTGGACAACATGAATATTTAAATCTTTAGAAGGTGCATCGTTACAAAGTCTCAAATTGCAGGTCAGAAAATAGCGGACATTTTTAGTATTTCGCAAATGTATAGCATATGGCGTTTTACAAGTTTAAATATTTATTACTTGAATCTTCTCAAAATTAATATCACATTCGATTGTACTGCATAAGCTATACATCATTCATAAATCAATGTTTTTGCTTATGCATTGATATTCAATGAATTGTTCCATAAGTATTGACTATACCATACTGATGTCACTGAGACAAAGACACACTGATTCTTTCAAGGTATAACACCTTCAGTGCTTTTATTTATAATCCTCAACGGAATCAGTGAAGTGAACGCATTCATCCTTCTTAAAAACGTCGTGACCTTGGACTATCTATAATTTTACATAATCAGACCAACTCTACAGAAATATTTCACTGCTAGCTCTCCTCTTAATATGTATGTTCCGATTTCAATCTTGAGTCTTCCTATTAAATATTTGATTTTGTGGAACCCACATATACTTTCGAAGATAACAGTAAATATAGGTTTTAAGTCAAAGTCTTCCGATTCTGACAGTTTCTTCTCTCAACACAGAAAGATTTCTTTTCGAAACGCAGAAATAAATTGTAGAAATTCTTACTGCAGTGATCGAATGAATTGTGAAATAACTATAGTCTACCAGAAATTTTTTATTTGACATACTTTGTATTAGATTAATGGTGGTAAAAAATTTATGTGAGTTTCACATTTCAACCTCACGTTGTCTCCACTAACAAACTTTCTTTCCACAGTTTAACACTTGGTGAAAACTGTTCTATTTGTCAAACCGATTTAATATCTTTATTATATACTAAAATAAAAATGTGAGTGCATCTTCCAATTTAGGTGGAATTTATATGCAGATATGTAAATCACTATATTGAATGCATTAATTTCACTCTTCACTGAAGCAAGTACAAATTAATAGAGAAGAATGAATGAGATATATGGTCAAATGTGGAGAGAGCGTGAAATTCAAACGCTACTGATTGACTAATGTTATTTCTCTTTTAAAGCCTTTAAAGGGATGAAATGTTTCTTTTTCACCATATGGTACACATATTTTACAAAATAAAATTTTGTTCCAGGCCGAATAAGAAATTTTTCTTCTGCTGGAAAGGTAGATAGAGCTGAAATGCTTGCACCACAACTCTTTGTAGCGAACATATCAGATTTCATGTGTCGATCAATGATGAGAAGTGTATTTCCATTGTAAAACTCAGCAATTTTGCGATTTCTGTTTGTTGAAGTGAAACTGGTGAACTTGACTTCTTCACTCATAAACTTTTCTCGTTCTTTGTCGATCAGATTTAAACTACGGTACACGGTTAAAATGTCACTTGTAGAATTGTTAAGTAAATAATAATACAATAAATAGCAGAATGGACCTAATGTCTTTAATTTTTCAAGAGTGATTTTAGCTACAGTACGAAGGACATGATTGATTCGTTTGTGTCAAAATGAGTCTTGTGTATAGAGATTGACACATATTTCACCAATCTCCGACGAGATTTTATGATAATTGATGCACTTGCCGTCGCCTGAATGTTTAAATGGCAAAAGTTGCTGAGACAACGATTCTGCTTCGCGTACTTTACCAAGTCGAGTTCCTTCTTTGACAATTCCTTCAGCCGCTGCTACGACAAGATTAGCAGCTGTTTTTTTTTCTTGTTATGTAGTTCCAACTGATAATAAGCCTCAGTAAAATCTCCTATTCGTGCCATAAAAAGTGTATTGTGAGGATGCAGATGTTGAGATGAGGCTGTTACACCAGCAGCTAATGTTATTGGTAGTAAAAATTTTTCTTCATGTGAGTATTGAAGACTCTTACTTCCGTCGTTATTGTACTTAATGCGTTGAAGTGACCATGAATGCTGTTCGTAAAAATCATCGTTCTTGTACTTCTTTCCATGTCTGACGATGCAGGCGATAGATCAATGCAGATTAGTTTCGTCTTCTCCATCTTTGATGGTTTCATTTTCAATTTCTGTGCATTGCTGAAATTGTTTATCGTTGGTAGGACAGAAATCTAAAGATGCATTTCCACATCGCTCAATATAACGCGGGCGACAAAAAACAGGAGAGGTAGATAAATTAGAATAAGTTATAGACATTTTCTTGTTTTCTTTTATGTAAAAAACAAGACGGAGTAAGTTAGCTTTTTAGATTGTGTGGAATGAAGACGTTAGTTTGTTGTTTTCTCTTTTTTTCTGAGTTAGTATATTATATCTTTCATTAGTCTGCAAATATTCCAACTAAATATGAAAGGGACATGGAATAATTTTCTTTCTCTCTATAATATTTTTTTCTTTGTCTCTTTCCTATATTGACATTAGATTACAAATAAAATGAAAGTGTTTGTTAAAGAAAAGAACAGGAACAGAAGATCCAACAGCAGCCTTTTCTTTTGAATTTTCTCTTTTGTCATTCAATCAACAAATATACAGTACTTGTTTGAATATATAATTGAACTCGCTCTTCTCTATATTACTTCATCGTAGAATGAGAAAAATTGTATTAATATAGAGCTAGGTGAAATATGAAACCTTGAAAAACTACTCTTAGCAGAACTCTTTGTTTTTCTTTTCTCTTTTCAGCCGTTAGTAATAATATTTACATAAAAAAGACTATTACACTGTACAGTATTTGTCGATCAACCTTCGTTCAGTTCTTCTAACTTTCCGACGTATATACAATTTTTATATTGTCTACATAGCACAATTATGGTTTTCTCTTCAAAACTGTATTCGAATACATCGTGTCATCATTGGAATTTAACCGCGATTTATTCATGTGTGCGATTCACCACTATCAAATGCTTCATTAAATGTTGAGCATAAAACTAAGACAGAGATCTATGGGATCATGCGAGAAATTATTGAAATTATGTACAATAGGAAATAACAGCTAAACGTGTCCATATCAAATTATATAAACCAACATGTAACGTTAAATTCTCGTTCTTACACCCTCGAACATCAACGTGTAGGTGAAATTCTGTTTTCACGTTAGGAATACCAACGAAGACAGAAAAATGTCTAATGAGAATATCTTGATACTTTGATACTTTGTTTCTTACTGACAATAAAACTGAAGAAGCAGCTTGAATTGAGCTCGACGATAATGAGACAAGCAAAGGTTTTGATTGTTGAAAAAGTTTTCTTACACATAATATTTAGCTTGACGTGTACTATGTGTGGCAAGTGGTATTATCACGATAAGTAAAATCTTCTTTCGATGAGAGAATAGCATTTTCTTCGACTGTTACTACAACTCGATGATGCTATTTCTAATTATAGACGCTTTGGGTGGGTATGGATGTGGGTAAGAAGCTCCAACCTGATACCCACACCTCACAGTGGAAAGAGTAACAGAAAGCCTCGCTCTCTCGTGATTACACTCCATTTACGATAAAAAAGCAAGAAAGAAAAGTTTCGACGATAATTCATCTAAAAGTCAGTGATTATGTGTACTGTAGACCATCTAATATCTTCCTAGAAGCTAGAAACATTTGAAAACCCTCTGTTTTTTATTTGCCTCAAAGTACAGAATGCGAACATATAATCATAATTTATTTTCGAGCAACCGAAATACAGTCTGAATCACATCAGCAACTCACCTATAAATGCTCCTCATATTCGGATGATTTCTCAAAAACCCATAGAAGATTCGAGTCTTTTGTGTTCAAAGAACTATTCAGACATCTAGTAGTCGAAGACACATATCAAAAACAGACTTCGTGATATCTTCCAAAAAGTGGAATTCTTTCGATGGATACACCCACATACATTCGTTCTCCACACGAGCAGAAGAGGCAATGAGAGCGATTTTTTTCTACCATGATGACAATAGATAGGCCTGCCTATGAGAAAAAAC